ACATCACTCATCATTAGGGAAATGCAAATCAAGACCACAATGAGATATCACCTCACACCTGTCAGAATGGCTACTATTAAAAAGACATGAAAAAAAATAAAAATAAAAAGACATAAAAAAATAAAAATAAAAAGACATGAAATAACAAGTGTTGGCAAGGATATGGAGAAAAGGGAACTCTCATGCACTGTTAGTGGGAATGTAAATTGGTATGGGCACTGTGGAAAACAGTATGGAGTTTCCTCACAAAATTAAAAATAGAACTACCAGATGATCCAGTAAGTCCACTTCTGGGTATTTAATGAAAACCACTAACTCAAAAAGATATCTGTACCCCATGTTCATTGCACCATTATTTACAACAGCCAAGATATGGAAACAACCTAAGTGTCCATCAACAGATGCATATACAAAGAAAATGTGGTTTATATGTACACAGTGGAATATTATTCAGCTGTAAAAAAAGAAATCTTGCCATTTGTGACAACATGGATGGACTTTGAGGGCATTATGCTGAGTGAAATAAATCAGACAAAGACAAATACTGTAGGATCTCACTTACATGTGGAATCCAAACAAAAACAAAATGAAACAACAAAACTCACAAATAACAGTACGAAATGGTTTCCAGAGGGGGCATGGTGAGAGGTGAGTGAAATGAGTGAAGAGGGTCAAAAGGTACAAACCTCCAGTTGTAAAGTAAATAAATCATGGGGATATAACATACAGCATGATGATTATAGTCAATAATACCATGTTGCATATTTGACAGTTGCTAAAAGAGTAGATCTTAAAAGTTCTCATCACAAAAAATTTTTGTAACTATGTATAGTGACAGGTGTTAACTGGACTTATGGTGCTGATCATTTGGTAATACGTGCAAATATCAAATCATCATGTGTACCTGAAACTAAGGTAATGTTATATGTCAATTATGCCTAAAAGGGTGTGTGAGGAACACCAAATCACACCCACAAGGAGTATGGGCATGTTGTCTGTGTCACTAGCATTAGACACCTAGAATGGTTCAGTCTGAGGCTGCTAGGGTTTTGTTCGGGTGGCTGGAAGCAGGGGAGGAGAGAACGCAGCCAGCTGCAACCCCAATGCAAGCCGAGTGCTGGCTCATGTTGGACTGGACTCCATTCCTTCCACTGGCCATGGGCAGGACCCACCTCATTCCTGGATGGACCAGGAGACCACTTCTCTGGCATGACTTTAAGTTCAGAAAGTCACCTTTCCCTTAACTACCAAAAATATTCCCTGTCAAGTTAAAAAAATCATCCCAAATTACATTCTTTAAATGAACAAAAACAGATATATTGCCTAGGAAATAACATGAAATACTATTATGTCTGCAGATAGTTTATTTAGCAAAGTGCTGGTCACTGAGGGAATGGGACACCGTAATCCTCTTCCACCCAGAAAGATTCTAGGACCAATTCCAGCCATTGGTGGGGGAATGAGATGGGCAGAGGGATCTCCACATTAACCTTTAAGGAACTCATAACCACAGTATCATCTGTTTCTTACCAGCTCCACACACAAAGACCTTGTTCCCCAGGGTGATTCCAGCTCGCCGGCAGGCATGGATCCCCACAGACAGTGGCTCAATCAGGGCCCCTTCCTCGAAGGTGACATTGTCAGGAAGCCTAGGGTGTCATTCAACACACTCAGTTAGTCCCTCTCTGGGTAACAACAATAACTAATATTTATTGAGCATTTGCTTATGTGCCTAGCAACATGCTGAGCAATTTACATATATTCATTCACACAAACCGTGGAAGAGTTCTAGTGTAGGCACTAATATTCTAATTTTACAGACAAAGAAACAGAGCCTTGGAGAATTAAATGACTTGTGCCAAAGGTTCAAAACTAGTGAGAGGCTCAAAGGGTTTGAAATGGAAACCAGATAGGTCTGATTCCAGAATCCATGCCACGCTGCCCTGTTCTGAAAATGGGTTTTTTTGGACAAATCACTTCAGTGAATGTGCACACATTATGTTTTCTTCAACATGTTACCCAAGAAGAGATATGTTGTGATTACCATCAATAAATGAGAAGTTCATTTAATAAGAGGTTAATATGACCACACTCCAGCATCTCGTCTGCTTCTCAAACCTATGTATATAGCCTTTCTGGTTTCACTTCAGCAAACAATCCCAACTATCAGCAGCTTTGCCAAACAGTGATTTAGAAGCTGATGTCACTCTTGTTTGCTGCCCTCCCCCTGATTGTATGTTCCAGAAGAACCACATCTGATGGCAGCAGCTGCCTGGCTGCCCCTGGACTGGTTGTAAAGGGAAAAGGGCCTCTCTTCCAGGCAGTTGATTAAATGCTGTGTCACCTTCACCACGGGGTTCTTGGTTTTCACTTCCCAGTCCACTGGCATCCTGACCCTATTAACAACCCCGATGATGATGACAGCAAACATTTGCATAAGGCTTTACAGATTAGAGGGCTTTTTCATCCATTATCTCATTTGATCCTCACCATGACCTTGTCAGGCAGGAAGGACAGGCTTTATTTTTACCTTCAGTCTACAAAAGAGGAAACTGAAGCTCAATGACATTCAGAGACTTGCCCAAGGTTACAAGGCTAATGAGTGGAAAAGCAAGACCTGAACTCAGGTCTCTGGTTCCACATCCTGCCTGCCCCATATCAGCCGCCTGCTAGTACCAGCAGCAATGTGGTTCACATCTCACTTCTGCTAATTCCTCACTGTCCAGTATTTTTATTCAGGGCCCCCAAACCTCCACATGCTAGAACATGAAAATCCTCAAGTTCCAAAAAGGAAGGTGTCAGCCAAACCATGTGCTTGTTCCCATGACCTGTCACACTACTCCACAGAATAAGTAATGAGGCTTACAGTCGGCCTCTGCCTGCTGCCCCCCACCATTTCCTCCTCCCTCCCCTCTGCGTCTCTCACATTGTCTCCCCTACTTCAATCTTCTCTCCTGCTCGGATTGCCACCATCACCCCTTCCCACCCAATGTGACCCATCAATTCTATAAAAGAGATAAAAGTTTGAAGTGAAATAATGAAGACTCCCAAACCCTCCCAAGGAATCACCAACCATACTGCCTCAGACATGCCTGCCCCTTCACATCTGGGACTTCCCCCAAGGCTTGTGTGGGCTCTGAGCTGAGGGTGGTCTTTGGTCAGGAATGGTGTGCCGCTCTTAACCTTCACTCTGATTTCCCCTTAGCAGAACACCCAGGAAAATGGGATTGAGGATGGTGATGATAGAGGATTATTATGGTGAGATTGTTCTACTCATTAGGCAGGTGCTGCCTTAGTCACCTAGACAGCCACCCTAGCCACACGGGGAGGGCAGCCTGGCATGTAGGCAGAAGCACCAGGAAGAGTCCTGGGCCCAGGGCCTTTGCCACTGACCTTTGGAGAGTCTCTGGGTCCTCCTCTATGCTCCCACTAACCTGACCTTGTTCAGTGGGAGGGAAGGGGGATGAGAACACTCTAAGTTTCTTCCCAGCTCTGATCTTTCCTGACTTTATAAACATCAGAGAATAATGCAACTTGGTGGTTTTCACAATAGGGTTGAGGGAACAGCAAAAGGATAATCAAGAAGTCAAGGGGGAAGCAGGAAGATAAAAAGAAAATAAGCTGGGTAGGAAAATAAAGAGGCCGTGGCAGTATAGGAATCCTCACAAACAGAAACCAGAGAAGAGGGTGTGGGTCCAGGGCTGGTGTGGGGACGTGAGCAGAAAGCACCCTGGGAGAAAAGGAGAGGTGGGGGGTTGCACGTCCCCTAGGGGCCCTCCTCAGCCCTCCCATTAACACTGCCAACAGAATACACCCTCCCCCACCATTGTGTACAAAGGCTCACCCACCCCCATCCCCAGTGCAAGACTTCCTTTCATACCTAACCTGTACTATCCCCCAGACACAAGGCCATATCTATGACATATCATGGCACCATTCATTGAGCACCTACTATGTGCCAGGCCTCATGCTGAGTACTTGATAAACTTTTCTCATTGATTTATGTCAATAAGCTATGCATTTCACCATATTGGTGCTATTATCATCTCCATTTTACGAGCAAAGATATTGAGGTTACAAAGTTTAAGTAACTCGCTGAACGTCACACAGTAGGTCGATGGCAGAGACCAGCGGTTAGTCTTGAAATTTATCATTTTGCTTTTCTGCCTTTCATGAAAACCTCGTTTAGTGCCTTGACTTGGAAAGGGCCCAGAAAAGGGAGGATGGTCGGAAGCCACTTGCTGAAAGGTAGACTCCACGCACATAACTTGCTTTCTTCTAGAGCAGTTAGATGTTGACTTAAACGCATCACGAGGTCTGGCCTCTGACTCCTCTCAAGGCTTCCAGTAGGCACTAGAACACTCAGATCTATCAGACTGCCCCTGTAATGGGCACCTGGCCCCTTTCAGACAAGCCCCATCCTGACCAACAGAGCCATAGCTGGGGCCAGGTCGGAATGGGAGGAAAACACACCTGTCAGACAGTCAGAAGGAAAGAGGCACATCAGCACCCCAGAGCTCCATGGGTGCAACACTGTGCTTCTGCAGATACCAGTTCTCACCCCAAAACCATTTTGAGAGTTGGGGTAGGGCAGTGAGCACAGGACAGGAATTTAAGACTCTCAGCTGCCCCAGCTTGAGTCCTTGCTCTGCTCTGCAGTCTCTTCCTGGGGCTGCACCCTTGCACAAAACTGCAGTCCTGGTGCCCACCTCACCATTATTCTTATGAAGATTCAATAAGATGAGGCATGCAAAGCACTTATTAGTAAAAGGCCAGGCATGTGGGAATAATAATTGTGATTTCACACGCATTGCCTCATTTAATCTTTGGGTGATTAAATGAGACTGAAGCAGAGGAAGGTTAAGTCATTTCCTCAAAGTCACTCACTAGGAGAGAGTGGATCCAGGGTCCCAAAGCTCATGCCCTGGCTCCATGCCATGCCTCGTCTGTAAGCCCCAATTGTTGCTGTTACTGGGGGTCACTGCTGTAATAAGTTCTCTTTCCTGGGAGCTGCCTTGGAAACCAGTAATGGAGGACGAACCTCAGCAAGTTATCTGCAGGATGGCTGGAGAGGAGTGAGTGATTTTGGCAACAATTTTCTATTGTTGCTCTAGGAAACGGGAACTTCAGCCCAAAGACTAAAACCAAGTACTGTGAGTCAGTCTTAGCCCTAGTCAAGCTGCCTTCCCTCAATGCCTCCAGAAGGGCCTGTGGAGGGGATGCTTCGTGTCTGAAATTATAAGCTGAAAAGAACAAAGAAATGACCGCAGGAAACTAGGAGAAAGAACCCCAACCAAAAAGGAGGGGGAGAGGTCCCAGGTGGCCAGGCCAGGCCTTGGGCACTAACTTGTAGCAGAAGTCAGCGTTGTGCTTATAGAACCGGCAGAGGTTCCCGTCATCAGGGGGCGTGGCACAGAAGAAGATGGATGGCGACAGATTGTATCGGCCAATCTTGCAGAATTCATCCATTTCTCGCAGAGCACCTGGCTCGATGGCAACACGATCCCCTGGAGAGGAAAACGTGAGCAGGGGCAGAGCTGCTGTGAAGGGGCACATGCTCCTGGGGAGATGCCAGCAGGGGGAGACACCCACCTCCCCAGGATCCAGGACCCCCTAGACAAGCTCAACCCATTAGTGCTTCCACAGAAAACTCAGGATGCTACACAGAACATGACCAGCACACTTCTCCAGACTGGTTTGGCCTGCCCTTTTACCAACCATGGAACAAGCCAATCCACCCCTCAGCTCCACAACCACTTCCCAGCTTGGGAAACACAGAACCAGTCCCATCTCTAAGGCAAGCCAGGTCCAGGATTCATCTCAAACTGCTGCATGGAGTTTGCAGACATTTTTTTTTCTTCACCTGCTTTGAAAATATGGGCCAAGGCCTTGACAAATACAGGAGCCACAATTATGGCATGCCTTATGTTCAGTCTGGTTGCATTTTGACAATAACTAGGAGTTAGGTGATCCCCAGTTTGCAGACCTGCTCAGGCAAATGACCCACAGAGGTCTCGGGCTCTGGCAGAGCAGAGAGTAACTTCCAGGCTTGTGAACTAGTGTACGTCTCCTCTGCCTCACTATGCTTGCTTGGAAACCCAGCCCTAGAATTGGTCTTCTATCTTTTCATTATGAAAATTTTCAAACTGGGGCGCTTGGGTGGCTTTGTCGGTTAAGCATCTGACTTGGGCTCAGGTCATGATCTCACGGT